TCCCTGGAAGTGTTCAAGGCCAGGTTGGATGGGGCTTTGAGCAACCTGCTGTAGTGGAGGATGTGCCTGCCCATGGCTGGGGGGTTGGAACTAGATGATCTTTGAGGTCCCTTCCAACCCAAATCATTCTATGATTCTATGATTCTATGAATGAGAAAAGTATCACAGTTTTATAGAAAACTTAGAAAACATTCCACCTAGGCAAGAGGATTTAAATACAAAATATGCAGGTGTCTGAAAAAAAACTAAGATGAGTAATACTCACTAGAGCTACCTCACTAATAATCCTAAATATATTGGATCTAGAGTGGTATGTCTTTCTTCAAACTCAAACAGAAAATTTGGATTTAAAGAAGCTTCATGAACTGAGGGATGCACTATTGAAAAGTAGATAGCCCTTTTTAGTCTCAAAATGTTTGACCTAGTAAAAGAAAAAACAAGTGAGAATAAGTGAGAGCACCACATTCCCACAAAATGGGAAGCAAGGCTATATAGGGAAAAGAAGATTTTGCACAGTATTGAAGGTAAGGATTAAACTCTTTTTGAATATGTTTTAGGAGAGGCAGCTGGCACAGAGATCAAGCAGAGAATGCATTCCACTTACATTAGATGTAAAGCAATTGTTTTGGCAACCTTTCACTGTTACTAGAAAGAAAGTAAGCATCTCCAATGGGTGGGAAGGATTACTGTCTGAATACATCTCTTTCACAGAGCCACAGGATGACTAGCTTACTAGAGGCACAGAGACAGATGAATTGGATCTCACTCGAGAAGGGACACAATAGACCAGAAAGATAGGATGGAAGTATTGTCTGAGCATATTTTTTTGTTGTTTATAGATTGAGGAGGAAAATGGAAAATCATACAGAATCACAGAGCAGGAAGAAGTTTCAGCTCTGGAAGATAAAGGACTTAAGAGTTTAGGTTTGCTTAAAGAAAAATAGCTACTCTTAGACCTTGTGAGACAAAAAAAAAACAAAACACACACAAAAAAAAGCAGGTTATATATAGCTCAGTTCAGAGGGAAAAGAAAAGAAATGGGCAGAAAATATGATAGCTTGTTCAATAGAAAATAAAAGTAACCAAAAAGGTTTAGAAAGAAGCTGAGCTTCAGACCTGCTATGTTCAGGTTGAGTTCAAAATGTAGAAAAAGAAATATTAGAAAGATTTTATTGAACTGCAAGAAGGAATATGAAGGAACAGTATGGCTTTGGTTTTTCACTTTAAGAGAGCTATGAGAACAGAGCAGATTATGTAAAATACAAAGTAGAGAACAGCAAGTGAAAAACACAGTCCTAAGTAATCCCCAAAGACACAGTTATTCTGCAGAAATGACTGCAAAGGCAATGAATGTGAAGTGCCAGGAGCAGGAACTTGTGTCTCTCTCCTGTGTCCACTTATATCTCCTGATTGTCCACTTACAGTCCATGAAGAGTCTCCATTTCTATTTCCTCACCACTGACTAGACTTACTGAGCAGAATCAATGCAGACAGATGTGCCCCTTCCAGGTGAGCACCAAGGACAGTGAAACCACAGAGGAAGTTCAGATTTTGTTAAAAGTGTGTGGGTAAGCTTTTTAATTTCAATGAAGGAAAAAGCCTAGGCTATTTGTTTTGTTAAAGTCTTTTACATACTTCTGCCCCTAAATACCAGGTGTCGTCCATTGTAACTGCCTTTATTACCAAAAATAAGAACTTTAAACTTTAAAAATTACAACATGAGGTTGTTCATCATAAAGGAAAAGGGAATTGCTTGCAGGACTAATGAACTCCACTCTTAAGTATGAAAAATAACCTGTTAGTTGTTACTTAATATGCTTTTCTCTAAAGGAACTTAGTGTTTGGGGTCAGCAGCTGCATAACATTTCATGTGATTCTTGGAGTGTTCAGTCCTCCTTGTTCTGTGCACTCAAAATTTCAACAGTCCCTGGGTAGCTACTGATGCCTGCAGCTACAGCTAAGTCATATTTTCTTCAGAAATTTCCTTCTCCCTCTCACAGTTCCTGATCCTGTACGGATCATATTTACATGGCCTCACTTGATGTATGCTGCAGAAGATGAGCCCTGTTGACAGGACCTGCTCCTGGAGCTGGTCAGGTTTTTGAAGCCCAGCTCTGCAGTCTGCACTCAAGAAGATTTTAACAAACTTTTTTGTCCCCAGCTACAGACCAAGATGTACAAAGTGAATTTGAAGCCTCAGGTGGCAGCCTGATTTCAGTATGTTGGCCACCTACAGCTACGTGGAGGTGTTGTTGTCTCATAAGGCCCAGAAGAGAGATTTCCTCTGAGCCTGTGGGGTGGTCTGTCTGACCATACGCAGTGCAGGCAGCTGCTGAAGCCACCTGGAGTCCCCGGCTCTGGCAGCCCCCTGTAACAAAAACAACCCCAACAGTGTGGTGTATCATGATCCTTGGGAACTTCACACTGCTTGAACGAAGTTATCTTCTTTGGCCTCCTCTCTGGCTACCACAGTATAAATACTCTAATTTAGTAGCGTGCAGAGCAGCATGTGATGAGATCTAAGTTCAGAGAGGTCAATATACACTCATATGTTATATATACCATACATACAGTACATGCATGCATTCATATATGTGTGTATGTATATACTATGAAGTGTTATATAATGCTATACACATGAAATTTCATCTGAAGTTTTACTGTTTGGAAGCCTTTCTCTTGACCTCGCAAGAACGTAAGCACTGAACAGCTTAAGAAGGACCTGATTTTTAATGCCTACATACCAATTTGCAGAAGTGCACATCATTACCATATATAGATACTTATGCAAATAAAATTCATAAATTCACGTTAATGCAGTCAGTATATTTGCCTAATTAGCTACATGTGCTAGTTTCTATCTTTCCATGGTGAAGAATAAGATTAAAAGAGCTTTAGCTTTAGCTTCAACTCCAGTTTCACTGACACCGTTGAAGTAATATTTTTGACATTGACCAAAATATCTTGCGTGTCTGTCTCTTTTCTGTAGTTTTTTCCCATGTCCAAGCACTTCTTTCACAAAAAAGCTGACAATCAATGGACAAAATGCACATGAAGTAATATTTGCACAATTTCCCATCAGAGTTTTGGAACAAATATATAGATTTGTTATTTTAGAGAGATGTTAACCACTTAACTAACATGACTGTTTCATTCCTCTGCATTACACTGAATCACTAAAGCTGAGCTACATCTTAGCCTTTCTACTGCTGACCTCTAGAGATTGTCCCTTAACTGTGTACTTTTAGAATAATAAGGCATGGTCCTTCTATGACCGTGGCATCCAAACATGCATAGAGCTCAACACAGTGGCTAAGTAAATACACTGCACACTGTTTATGTAATAATCATGTATGTATGTGTGGTCATACAATTTTAATGTTCTTCTACTTTGCATTTCATAGTAAAGAAACAAAGAGAGGAAGAGAACAATTTACTTCTTTATATATATATTTTTAAATCAAATGTTCGGAAAAGTTTTAGATCAAGATTTCTGATTTGAGCAACTTTCTCTACTGACTAGGTACTAACTGCACTTTAAGTGGCTAAGATCGGGTTGAAAATTCCCTATGGAACTATAATTAATCTCATCAGTTCCCTGTACCTTGTACAGGCATGGTGTTATGACAAAGAATAGTTATTCCTGTATTTTAATATGTATTTGCTGGTTTTGCAGACAATGAGAAAACAGTAGTAATCTAGATTTGACAATGCATTTCGCTAGCCTTTCAGCAATGTGCAAAACAATGTTATCTAGAAAGGGAACAGCACCAAGTGTAGGCTGAGGAACAATCCTCTAACCTCTTTGTTCTAATAGGCATGAATACAGAGTGGTTTGAGTGAAAAATATCATTTCAAAGCTTTATATTTTTCATGAAGCGCCCTGAGTTAGCACTGATAATGTTCATGGATATCTTATTCAGACTTGTTCAAACTGGGTAACACAACACAACTACTGAGAAATCCTGCTGTAGCTAACAATTTTTGATGTATTCAAATTGTCAGTTTTCAGAGTATGTATAGCAATATTTCTACCTCATCTAAAAGAAAACTTTAAAAAAGAAATATAATGCAATGTTATTGTACAATTGCTACCATTATATTTTATTACGTAGTTAATGATGGACAACATATTTCATCAAGAGATAAGAATCGTATCTCTTGTATCAGTGAGATAAGTCAGAGGATAAGATATCTATCATGAAAAGATGATACTATGATCTGAGTCTCATGCTCCTGGAAATTTATTAATCTGATATCTATTCAAATGGCAAATTTTTGTTTGTGTGTTTCCTGGAATAAGCATGAACCAACAAACTGCTCAAGCTCGTTACATTATCCTAGTTAACAGTAGCTTTCCGTTTGCTGATCCAGCTAGCCCAGAAGTATAGCCTTTACAGTTTCAGAGAAAGCACAGACTATTAGCCATTAATTGGTTTTGTAAAGACTTCCAAAATGGACTTATTGAACAGCATGAAGATAAGTGGAAGTTCTCTGCCTCATTTGTTTTTCTTCCCCTATAGTTTATATTAGATTTTTTTTTGCGTTCCAGGCCCCTCACAGAACAGATAATTGAAAACATCATCCCTACATGGGAGCAATTTCCACTGCTGGAAATGTTCACAAAAAGGAAATTTTAAGAAGCCCATACTCCATGAGACCTTTGCAGTGTCTAGCAGACCTTTGGGAAATGTTGCCTGAGCTTAGTTTAAATGAGGAAATATTTCAGTTTTAGTAAAAAAGACATGACCACTTGTGCATGGCAGGTTTCGGCAGGCAGCTGGGCTTCATAAATGCCTTATCAAAAAAAAAAAAAAAAAAGCCACATAGGTGTAGAGTACAACTTCTGATAAATCCTGATCAGACAGAAACCAAGAAACCACAAGTGTCAATTCTCTCATGCACTAGCTCTGACTAAAGTCTGCAGCTTAACAAAACCCCACAGAACAACAGTACCATTTTCTTTAACAGGACAGCAGGTGATGAGTAAATATCCTTACCGGCGTGGCCTGCAGAGGAGTCAAACTCAATCTCAGGAGCTGTGTTTTCCACATGTGTAGAAGCTGCAGGTAGTCTCAGAATAAGTTGATCCACGTCACTTCCCACTGGTTGCTGCTGGTCAGACCCAGCAGAGCTGAGGACCAGGAGAGGTTTGCTCTGCTGCCCTACTCCTTCCTTGTGGAAGCTGTAGTACTTTCGATTCTCCTCTCCAAAACGAGGACTAAAAGTCTCAAAGGGTCGGCCCTGCTTGTCAGCTGCTTTCTCCCGGGGCTTTGAATTTTTCTGAGAAAAAGTGCCACCCACCTTGCCACTGACATGGGGCCCATAATCAGACAGAGGACCCTCACTCAGCAGGTTCTTCAGCTCTTGCAAACTTCTTTTAGAAATGTCAGGTTCCCCCGTGAAGGGCTCTGCAGCACCGCTTCCTCGTGTGGTCACAGCACTGCCCAGGGAGCTCATCTTTGCCACGTAAAACTTGACATCTTTTTCTTCTGTCCCACCCCGCTCTCCTTTCTTACTCTCTGCCTCCTCCCTGCCCTGTCCCCCGCGCGCCGCCTCCGTGCACCCAGCTTTCCCTGAGCTCTTCCCAGGTTGTGCACCCATGGGCTGCTCCGTTTTAGCTGGTGTACCTATTTCCTTCTGCGTTTTTCCTATTACTCTTTTCCCAGTGTCAGCATTTTCCTGGGTTTCTCGTGTTTCTCCAGACATGTCTTCTTTCATGCCGCTGCCAGTATTGGAACTGTCACGAACCCCTCTGCCTTTTTGTGCTGGAGGAAAGTTAGTCAGATTTTGAAAAGACTGGTCTGGTGGTGGTTCTGAACGGCCAGCTGTTGCTTGAAGGGGACAAGGATCTGGGATTTTTGAGGTTTGATTTTTTGACAGCTCCATCTTCTCATTTTCTAAAGGAGGAATGCACTTTGTAGGACTTTTGACTCCCTTTTTCTTTCTGAAACCACATATATTGTTGCCATCAACTTCATCATTGTCACTTTCAGATGCGTTCTGTAACCAGCAATAAAATACACAACCAATAACACACATGAATGAAACAGAACATGACAACAGGGTACTACGACCAACTGCATTTACCTTGTAGAACTTCCATTACTTCTTGCTAATGGAGGTCTCTGTGAACACTTACTGATCCTCAGATTCTGCTATTTTGATTTTAAAAATTCTCACAGAATTCTTTTTCTTATGTTTTAGAACAAAATTGGTAAAAATGCCTTCATAATATAGTTTTTAGGCAGATTTAGGAGATTAAAATATAAGACTTGGTACACTGTATGACATTTGTTAAACATATGCCCTTTAAATGTGAAAAAAAAATATTTTAATAATTACATTTAAGTATATTCTTACTCATATTAAAATAATTTATATTTATACAGGAAACTTATTGCCCTGAAACACAGAACATTGGCAATCCTTTTAAGTACAGGGAGTGAAACTTGAAAATAAATAGCCTTTAAATTAATTTCAGGATCTAATTCGGCCAAATAACTGAACTTCCAGGGCAGTGGTCAAAAAGACAAACCCATATTTGGATGTGTAAACAGGAAAGAACCAGAAGATGATGTTTACCGTTATATATGGCATTGATATGATTTATATTGTAGTGACAGGAGCAGAATTTAAAATGGGTGTAAACATATGGAGAAGGTGCAAAAGGAGCTACAAAAATTAATCTGCTTGCATTATCCCAAAGAATATCAAGACGTGTCTGGATCATCGTCCCTCCTAAGTATCCTGAACATACCACAAGTGTGTTTAATCTGATGATGACAGGGAAAAGGATAGGAAATCAAAACTAGATACAATCAAATAAAAAAAAAAAATAGCAGAGATTTTAATATTATGAGTGATTAATTATTTCACAAGCTGTCCAGGTAGGGATTGAATTCTCCATCTCTCAACGTGTTAAAAAAGACTCTGTAATATAGTTTAACCAAAATATAAATCACCCCATAGCTGATTGCAAATTGTTATATTGCTTACGAATAGCTAATCAAGCATGTATTTAAGACTCAGTAGTCCTCTTAACCGACAGTCCTCGGTTTGCTTGGGTTGGGTTGGAATTAAAACCTGTAAAAACACTAAGAAATCAAAGGATATCCTCTGAGCGAGACCATTCTTTACCTTTTCCACAAAGGAATAATCTGCACTCTCTCCAATTTCTGAATTTCCAGAAGTAGGGATCTGCACAAAAGCAAAGTGAATGCCAGTCTGGATAAGGCAAAAGAGATTGCTGTTGTCAGACAAAGCACGCAGAAGAAAAAGACGAAGTGTCTGATGTGCATATGGAAGGAAACAGTTACATGGCCTCCATTAAGGTCATTAACACCTCCTTTTTTCTATATTATTCCTCCCTCTTTTCCCTATTTTCTCATTATGATATTTTCCATCATTATCTAGTCAAAAAAGGCTTATGACTTCTCTCCTAACACAGAGCTCACAGAAATATTTCCTTCCTCTCCTCCCCTTACTCTGAATTTCTGCAACGGGCTATACTTACAGCTACTTAGGGAGCTCACCAAGGCATGGCTGTTAGCGTGGAAGGCAGCTGGCTGCCAGCTCTATAGGAAAAAAAAAGCCACTCTGAGCTTGTAACTCCCATGCACGTATCTCGACAGTGATGTGCTTGTGATACTCACTTGCAATCACACACAGTTACTGGCTCATTCACAACAGAAATCCTTGCTTACCCTAGTTTTACCACTCAGCTTTTAACGAACCCTTTTTTTTTTTTTTTCTTAAAAAGGCTTTGGTTTATTCCCACAATATAACCTATAATAGCTCACAAAATAATTCTGAGTGTATTGCTGATACCTCTACACATTCACCCATGTAGAACAGGCCTAATTTCTACAGCTCTGCATCATTATAGAATATAAACATAATGAAGGAACTTTCCTGAATAACAAAGCAGACAAAAACTGCTTATAATGGACAATTATAATGGAGAATTTTAACACTTCCATTAGCAACACAAGAAAAGGAATGAAGCTGGATGAGAAACAGCAGAGGTGGAGGAATCAGTGTCTGCCAAATAGAAAAACTCAAATAATTTTGAAATAAAAGAAACATCAAATTAAATTTCTAGATGTTTAAAATTATTTTTTGAGAGAAAGGAGAGAAGAGTTCCAGTTATGAAAGCTATAGCCATAAAACAATTGTATTTTTTAATGAATTTATGAAAAATATTTACTTAAATATCTTTTGTGGCAGAGGTTGCCATCATTAGAATATCCTTATTTCTACCTCATGAAGTTTTCAGAATTCCTTTGTTTCCTTTTAATAACTTGAAACCAGTAAGGTAATCATAACGTCATCTACATTTCTGCTTTATAATGTATTCCCACTCTCTGTACTCAAAGATAACCATTGAAAATTTTAATGTTAGACTAAGTTTTTGCCTGTTTCCCTTTTGTGGATCTCTGAAAAATAGTGAATAAAAACGAGTAAACGATAAATGAGCACATCCTTTTTATAACACTTGTATACGGAAGACAAAGAGTAGTTTGTTTATCAAAAGCAAAATGTCAGAAAATCATCTATTCACATGATCAGCCATTCTAAATGGTTTCATGAACACAAGTACCATCTCCACATTATAATCCTTACCGAAACAAATTCCTTCTGAAGAGAAATAGCAGGATAAAGACTAATCACTTGTAAATTTGTTAATGGAAACATTCATCTGCAACAGAACTCTAATAACTTCTGTGTCTATAGTAGTCTGCAAAGGTTTTATTTTCCATGAAGAAGTTGAGACTATAGCATTGCATTTTGGTCATAGATTTGAAAGAGATACTGCGCCCATTGCTCTTAAAAAAATAAAAAATAAAAAAACAGGCATCATTTTTAGCTTCAAATAAACAAAACTATTACATTTATACAGAGAACTACCTATGCATTACTTAAGGTCCTCAGCACAAGGCACACTGTGACTATGCAGGAGAATGACTCTTCATTTCTAAATAAACTCAGACATATATGGGCTTTCATTTAGAAATCATTCACAGTATTCTCTTTAGTGAATTAAACAGCGCTAGATTTGTTGCAAGGTACAAATACAGCATCTCTTCATATTAAAGACAGTCACATGCCTGAGTTATGACACAGCCTTACTTGTCTAGTGGTTTATGTGGTGTCTACCATCAGAAAAGGCCTAGTACCTGGGCACAGAGGGTAGAGCACCCAGAAAATAGGACGCACGAATTATCTCTAACATTTTATTTCTGGCAAGTTTTTTTCTGCAGAAGACAGGGATGATTAAGTAAAACAGAAGCTTGAAAAAGTTACAGTGCAAGTGAGCTGGATACAGATCGTGACTTAATTTCATGGAACCACATGACCTGCTGTATTGAAAGGAAAGCAAAACCATCACTACATTAATGTGGCAAAAGTTCTGATTATTTTTTATTTAATTGCTGAATGTTCCTACTTTTTCATTGCTGTGGGACAACAGTAACAGGGGATACAGCTTGAAAGCTCTTTTAGCCAGCATTTGTTTCAGCATCATTCAGTTTTTGTTTGCTTGTTTCCAAATATTTACTGGCACCCTAAGTCAGAGGTCCTGAAAGTTTCAAAATTTACTTCTCTTTCTCAGCAAGTGAATACTCAGATGGCGATTCAAATATTCCTGTTAGAAGGATTAGGTCCAAAATATAAACAGTTCGGGCCACATTATGCAACAAATCTGAGATTTAGATTTTTTCTTTCTAAAGATGTATCTGATGTTAATTGTCTTTTGTAGGTATTGGTACTCCCTCAAGTTCTGATTTCCATCAGGACTTCTTGCCCGAGTGCTGCAACTCATGCTGGTACCCTAATCCCCTCTGCACTGGGGGTTTGCACTTGGTAAGGTTTTGGTAGAGACGGACCAGCACAAGTCCTACAATAGCCAGGAAGGTAGGGGTGGATTAGACTTCATTTCCTATTATGGATAATCTCAACTCATACAAATAATAGCTTTGCTTGTGTTCACTAGATACCTACTGTGTCACTTCAAGAACACGAGAATCTGCAAGTCTGTGACTATCAACAGAGAATAAGGGCTACACTTGTGCATTGCAACAGCATGTTAGGGCATCGTGCAGGTAGCGAGAGGGGAGAATAGAAGAGAGTATCAGCAAGCAAATATTTCAGCTCTGTGCAGATGAAATTGCTTGCTCTACTCAACTCAATTACATGTCACTTCTGGCATGCCATCAGGCTTCTACAGCTGATAGACATTTTATATCTTGTGGTAACACAGAAAACGTACATCTAAAGCAATTTTTCTTAATCAGTTTGCATTCACTTTTAGGCTTCGTACAAGCTCTGAAGTGGAACATTTACTATGTCATGAAATGCAGCACCGCCAAAAGGCAGTTCATCTGTAAACCTGTCAATCTGAGAGCATTTGGAACTGTAAAGCATTGCCTTTGGGAGGAATAATAAGTGCTGAGATTTCTCGTGTGTGAAACGCAGGTGAAAATCCAAGGTAATCCTTGAACTTTTGCCTTTAAAGGATTTTATAGGTGACTGAAAATATATCTGTGATATTCTATGAGACAAATTCAGAGGCAGTGGAGGCGACCTTCTATTTTTCTCCTACTTTTTGTTTTGCTACTGGGGTTTACAAACCTCTCTCAAAAATGAATGAGACAGGGAAATGAGAAAAAGAAACTCACACTATGGCATTTGAAAGGACAAAAAAGAGAAAGGGAGTTAGTTTAGAAGATGTTCTGAGTAACTGGAGATGAATAGCTGCAGAAGGATTTCTATCACAAAAACAAGATGCAAGAGGCAAGGTGCAACTTTAGCAGGAGTTTTTCTATATATAATCAACAAGGTAACCCAATGTTCCTGCTATGGGCTACCGAAAAAAGTAATGCAAACACTCAGCAAAATGCGCTAGGGTCTCAGTCACATTCTCATTTTCTCTTTTGTTTCAGATCATTAACCAATTTTAACCATTAACCATTATTTTAACTGATTGTTAAGAGGGCAAACTGTGATGCCCTTCCTGAGTTGTTGCTAAAGATTTTTCAACAACAAAAGATTAATTTTGCAAAGAACATCAAAATGTCAAAATCTGATATAACTAAGAATTAGAAAAAACATGGGAAAACAGAAAAATGAAAAATATGTAAGATTTGGTTGGCTGAATTTTTTATTTACGAAAAGAAAAACTGCTTCACTTAGGTTTGACGTTTTATTTTTAGTCATATAAAACGATGCTGAAAAACTGAAACAAAATGTTTCCAATCCAAAAAAATCTAAAAATATTGTTCAAGTCATGTTGACATGTGACATTATTCACATCGTTTGAACTTTTTTCTAATTTCATTTCAAAAGTAACACAGTTTTTCAAAGTATTTGAATTGCTATGAAACTGTAAATGCTGAGGAACTTTTTCTGGCCCACTCTGGCTGTTACCAGGTTACCCTTTACAGCTCCCTCTGATCAATACAGTCATGTTTAATTAATCTTTTTGTGTAGTAACGAGTTTCAAAAACTAGAAGTCAAGCTAACAGGAGGTGCTCCTTAAGACCTTACACAACAGTACCCATAAAGCAAGTATGTCCGTGTCCAAGTGCTTTCCCTGCCCCTTCCCCTGACAGATGGAAAGCATTGCCTAGCTGCTCCCTCAGCAACCAGGCAGCGAAGGAGCAGAGGACACAGGAAGAAATTATCTACTGCTGGGAATTAATGCAGCTTCACTGGAGTCACTGAAGCTACACAGATTTGCACCAGGAGGGAATCTGGCCATGGAGTCATACAGAGGACAACCCAGACATTTACAGGGAGTAGCTGCAGGCACAGAGAGAGGTTTTACCACTTGCATGCAGTGGTAAAACAATGTGTGCTATGATAAACAGGCACGGGTGGCTTGTAAGCTAGAGGCATGAAGATCACAGCACATTGTCAAGATATTGCTGTGACTAATTTCTCCCTCAGTGACCTTGTTTGATGAAGTGGCTCTTTGAAAGTGATTTACTGTTACAAAAAGCTCCTAGTGAAGGACCTGCAAGTGACATAAATATTAAGTACATATGATTATTCTGCAGTTACAGAAGCTGAAGCACAAACTTGCCATAGGTCACAGGAAGATGTGTAGTAATGTTAGGAGAAGAAGCAAGGTCTCCTTCCTTCTTTGAAACTTTTAAATATACTCAAGATTATTAATGTCCTTCATGTGAAAATGAATGGAATTAGTTTAGCTCACGATATTGCGCCACTTATTTTCACATCTGATGTCTGTCTTTATCTGCCACTCCCATCCAAAGTCTTCATGCTACATGCACATTATTACATGAGCTCTTCAAGGTCATTGATTCTTTTGCTGCCTCAAAGCAGCAGAATTGTCCTTGTGGCAAGGTTATTTGCAAATACTTTCACTTAGACTTTGCCACCTGCACCATGTAAACGAAAAAGCTCTAAAGTGAGATAGAGTCTCAAAATGAAGAATCTGATCCTGCTTTCATCGTGATTTGGGACCACCAAAGTACATTAGTAGTGTTATCTCCAATTTGCAGCAGTGTAAATGAGATCTAAAAGCAGGACCCATTTAACAGTTGACTAATCCTCAGGAAGACATTTGCGAGGGAGTGGACTTAATGATCTACGAGACTTTTAAATCTAAATTCTATGACTCATTTCATATACAAAGATGGTCTAGGAGGCAGTCAGTGACTCAGAGCAGGTTCATCTCTGACTTTTAATGTATCCATTTGTTCACCTTCATAAAAATGTCTAGTAGCCTCAGAAAGTCTGCCTGCACTGTTGCTTCCAAACCACACTGCATCTTTCTCGGTATTTTTAATGAAAAATTTTAATTTCATATTTTCACAATGAGATCTTCCGGACACTACTCAAAATAACAGGCATATATTTATTCATTTTTTACTTTATTGAAAGTATATATTACAAATTCAGGACCAGAATCTGTTTTAAAATGCCCTCATATAGAAATTAAGCAGCTTCACTTAGGTCAGTAGCCTGACTCAAGAGTGACTCTTTCTAATCCAGGTCAGACTCTGATCCGCAAATTGTAGTGCTTTCACTTACACTAACGAAGCTGAAGGCAAAACCAATCAGTTTTCTCACAAATATTAGTGGGATCAGATTTTAGACTTCTATTTTTATTACTTTGAATAAAGTTATAAATTAAAGAAATAGGAAGTTAAAATGAGTCAGATTTTTCTCCTTTTTTGGCTCAAACAAGAAGCCTTTCTTTGATCTGCATTTGCTTCAGAATTAAACCATGCTCAACATATACGCACAACGAGCCTTGCACATAATCCACAATGAAGTATTCATTCACTTGAAATCTTGAAGTGGATGCAAAAAAGTATTTTATATCAGTGTATCTGCTCAAAAATTATTCACAGCCAGTCTCTTACCTGATGAGTAAGATCTTCCTTTTTGTTCATGTCCACTTCATTCTAGTTTAGGTCACCATTAGAAATGTCCTAGTAAAAATCTAGTAGAAAGACATCCCGTATTTATAGGCACAGATAGAATAAAGGTTAGTTAAAACACAATTGCTGTAAAGTTCTTTTCCCAGAAGGCCATGCAGATGATGAACCCGAAACAGCAACCCAAACGTGTCATGGCCAAGAGCACTACTTTCTGGAACAGCGTTAAAGTAGTAAACTGACGAACGCGCATTATTAGCTGCCTGCCTGGAAACAAAGACAACTGAGTATAAAACTGTTTTGCTCAACTTTTCTCCTCACAAAAGGCTTTTGTCCTGTAACAAGCAATTTCTGTTCTGGAATTGAAGCTATTGTTAGGCTCCTTAGAGGTGAAACCTGTATTGGGCATTATGAAAACAGTATGTTATTGAGACACATGGACAGACATTTGAAAGGCACAGCACGCTGCAAGAATAACATGCCATACTAGCCTGTTATTCTAGGTGCTCGCATATTGTTAATTAATATTGTTGGATCTAGTTGCATTAGAATTGAGGGAGGAGTCTTTTTTTGCATTAGATCTCTAAAAATATTCCAAAAATTAGGTAGTTAAGCTTGTATTTCTTACGATTTTTTATTTATCATGTTTAACATGAATTTAAAGGACAGTGTTTAACTGACCATTCATTCAACTTCCTTCATCTGATATAATATTACAGGATAACCATATCATGTGGGCTTACAGCAACCCTTTCCAATAACTCATCACTTAATAAATGTGAGTAAGCATGATGTTAATTGTCATTTAACCCTGTGAAAATGCAAATTTGGAAATTTTTAAACACTTCCAAAAAATTAAAAATAAAAAAAAATGGTTTGTTAAAATTACCCCATCAAAATAACAACTATCAATTGGGGGCTATAGTTCACAAAAATCTTAGGTCTCATCAGTGAAACGCATAAACACAGGTGCCCAAGTCCCAACCTATGATTCCAAAAATGAAAAAAGTCTATTAGTATTTAGGAAATAGCCTTATAAGTCTTGACATTTTGTCAAGCAGACATTAAAAAAAATCAACACCCAGCATATTTCATAGGACAGGGCTCCTGCAAGACAGGTAGGATGGAAGTCAGCATTTTGATTGCAGAATAGTTCTTCCAAAAATGTTGCCCTCAGACTGCCATCATACAACAGCAAATTGCACAGATCCCTTTTTTAGCCAACTTACAGGTGGCATAAAACGTACAGCTTGCCATGGTAGAGTTGCTGTGAGTCTATGTTGTGGTGAACTGTGTCAAAAGGAGAACACTTCTGAGCAGGACTACTCACATAAAGTAGTCTGAGAAGCAGAGGCCAGACAGAGACAGGTCTTCTGGCTTTACATTTTTTCCATTTTGAATGCAAGCACGAGCAACCTCAGCTCGTAGTTTGAAAAAGACACACTTCAGTTTAAAAATCTTATTCCTCAGAGCAAAAAAATATTCTTCCTAACAAGGGTGGTCAAACACTAGCACAGGTTGCCCAGAGAGGATGTTGGATTTCCAACCTTGGAGCTATTCAGGACTTGACTGTGCAAGGACCTAAGTAACCTGACACAACTTCAAAGTTGGCCCTGATTTAAGTGGTGGGTCAAACCTGATGACTATCACAGATGCTATCCAGCCTACATTATTCTATGATTGTACTTCTGACTCATTTATACATATTTTTAATGAACTTCATTACATTTTTGCAAGTACACAACATCTTTACCGTACTTTGCATTCTACTCTACTCTGTTCTGCTAAACGGAACATAAATACAAGAAAGAACAACTTGTGCCTTAAAGAATGTAGTTTTGAGGTACTAGTCTTGCAAACATCATTAGTAATGAATAATCTTTTCATTAGCACTGGAAGGATCAACTATTTCCATCTCAAATGCCTGTTAGATCCTTCTAAAAACAGCTTTGTTTTGTTTCGCTTTCTAGACAGAGTGAAATAGGAGAGAGAGAGAGTTCTCTGCCAACACATGCCTGTGAGAGGCTGCTGGTTTCAGTAGAACTGTGCTGATCAGAGAAGTGAGAATCTGATCCAGAAACTGATGGAAACTCATTTCACAGCTGCCACAATACACAGACTAGCAGAAAGAGCACTGTTTGTTCAGTAACACTCATTATCTTCCCACCTTTGGCTAATAAGATAAATCAGGCCAAATCTATTGTATCTGCATGAGGAATGTCTGGTTTTTTGTAAAGAAACTGGCTTTTATATATGCATTCAGAAAGACATTTTCTGTCAGTAAACTTTTGCAAAAACCTGCTTTCACATGGATGTGGGAGTCTCACTTTGCAAAAGCAAACCCAGAAAAGCTCCAGAGGAAGGCATCCTAAGAGGAAGAAGTATTCTGTTAGCATCCAATAGAGAGAAAGGAAGACAAAATGAACGTGACCATGTTTATTTTACATTTATCACTGAATTCTGTGTGAGAGGTATCATAAGAGGTGAATTCCAAACCCTTGGAAACCCAGTGTTGCACCTGCTTTGGCCACCAACGAAAGGGTCAAAGAGTATGGAGTAATGACTAATGCTTGATAGGGAACATAGCTGCGAGAAACATCCGTACCATCCCCATCCCACTGACCTCGGTTCCCAGCACATGGACGGGCTGGAGCAGATCTGCCTATCAGGCTCTTCTTCTTTCAGCTGCTTGTCACATCTTTCCTCCCCTTTCTCCTTTTCCATTTGATTACAGAAGCACTTTTTCCAGTCTTTATCTCTTCGAGTAGGTGCAGCAAAATTCAGTTCATCTTCCTTAACATTAATGTTCATCTTAACATTAACGTAACTCTGTGCTTATACTGGCTGCAAAAACATATTTAACATTGTTATTAACAAACCCAGTTCCTCAAGGCTGTGTATCACATAGTCTAGTATTTTCATAGCAATATGTTGTTTGTGGCACCACTGAAAAGAAAGCCTCAGAACAGCCCATAAGGATGTTCTCTGGAGGAGAAGCAGAGATTTACACAAATTGATCCCTTTCTTTTAGAATGTAGAACTGATATCATGAATTTGTATAATTTTTTAATTCAAACATGCTGGGCTTCAACCACAGTTTATCAAATACTAATCTGAAAACTTAGACACTTCAGAAATACAACACAGACCAAACACCACAAAAGTGATCACTTAATACTTTAACTACAGATACTTTGTATGCTCTGTCTATGATGAATAAGTGGTAACGAGGAAGTGCAAACTGCTCATTATCCCATTAGCAGCTCTTCAGCAGCTGAAAAAGAGATACAGCTTCTCTGACGACAGCAACTGCGGCAAATAACAGCCAATTCAGGGGAGCTCTCTGCTGGAGAGCTGCCAGCAGCCTCCATACACACAACTTCACCATCATCTTGGCTTAGAATTACTGATTCCAGCTACCAATATCAGGATTTTTTTCCTGTATTTTCAAAAAAAAGAGGTTAAAATTATCACTGCTTGTACTCTCCTTCCTTGCAGATTGGTTTCCCAGAAGGGGAAATGTCTATATACTCTGAATTATCATCTTAAGTAGCAAAGCATCAAGCCTTAAGGCATCCACCAGAAAACATGTTTTTTTTTCTCCCTGCTAGCATAGGTTACCTTCAGCTGTTAATTTCAGTGGGTCCCCTGAAATACCTAAATTGTTCAAAAGAAACTTTAGAGGATACAGATTTTGTAGCTGGGATAGGTCTTGGATAGCATTGCCTTTTTTCAGTTTGGAGGAAGGGAGAATTACGTCCTATAATCTGCTCATAGGCATGGAAAATTTCTTAGAATAACTGTGTCACATTTTTTAATCACCTAAATTTTACAGTGTGCAGCCACTCCCATTTCTAATCCCATCAAGCATGCCAAAAGACACCTATACACCCTGATTGGCTTCAAAAGCAGTCTTCTCTATAAAGATAGCTAAAGTAGGTAGCTAAAGGTTGACAGAGAACACAGTTCAAATAGATAGCTGTTTCCTCCAATTTCAGAAGCTTTAAAAATAAAAGGCCTTTTAAAGCCTTACAGTATTCTTAGAGTACATGGAGATTTCAAAACTGGTGCCAGCTTGCTAGTGGCAACTAGCATCCACACTACACAGTACTGTATGGATATACAAGCTAAGATGGATTTTGCACAGACCTATCTCAGGAGCTTGAGAACAAAGACCCTTGAGTCCTCCAGTTCGAAGGCTGGCAATCACATGGCCAGCAAAAGGAGATATTCACTAAGTCTCTCCCTCATCACCATAAACCTGTAGAATTCTCTACTAATACCTAAAGGCTGGCATTACAAAGCCGAAGGAGAAATTCAAGCATCAGAACCCCTTCAGGAAAATCTAACCTATTGCGTTCCTTCACCAACAGGGTATATTTCTGGTTTATCTCTAACCCTGTGCCTTGCCATCATTATTAAACAACACTGTAGTTTGTCTTGCACTTGAAAAGTGTCTTTTTCTTCACCATTTCTTCTCAGCTGACATAAAATATTATTCAGCATCAAGATTGGAAAAAGACTTCAGATAGTTAAACTCCAGTTTACATTGCCACCTAGTAAAAAATAAGATTAGAAGAACTACTAGAGCTTGGAGTTGTACTGATCCTTACTCAGTTGCTGTAAGCAGTCTTTCTGCTAAGTCTTCTTTTAGGAATTCTTCATATGTTTATCTCTTCCAACATCCTCACAAGTATGCCTTCACTATGCATGACTGCATTTATGCAGTATCTCCCATTTATTGTCCAGTGATTTATACTCCAGTTAGGTTGCTAGGCACGTTACAGCGAAGCGCTGCTCACTCCTCTATTTGCAGGTACCAAAAGTTGGGCCCAAATGGTACTCACGGACAAGGACAGGCTGAAAAATCAGCCTAAGATGTATCAGAAGTTAATGAAGTTAACTTTTACATCAATAGCATGCGTAAGAAATCTTTTTAACAGGTAATAAGCAATTACTTTATACTCGAAATAACTACATTTGTCAAAAAGGTTGATTATTTGAAACTGTAGCAC